CCCCTCCACCTCCCCGGCTTTGCTCCAGGTGTCCCTGGTCTGCTGGAGACGGTCCCCAGCAGACCAGGGGCACCCGGAGCAGCTTTTCTCGCCCCGGAGGTCGAGGTGGTGGGACCGCTGCGCTCTGGGCAGTCCCGCTGCCTGCGAGTTCCGGGGTGAGAAAGCCCCGTTCGTAAGTGCGGATCCGACATAAGTCAGATCCGTGTAACTCGGGGACTGCCTGTATATATTAATTAAAGCAATCTTTTGATACTATCTCTCTCCCCTTCACAAATCACCATTTGGGGAACAAACAAACTAAAAAAACCAACAAAAACAAAATACCATTGAACTAACAAGCTCTGCCCATCACCTTGGCCACTTTGCCTACAGGGTGTACAATGTTCCCAAATAATCAGGGTTTTTTTTTGTCTCCATAGAACCCTATCCTAAAAGCTTTTTCCTGGAACCTTTGCGCCATTGGAGACATATGAGTGTAAAGTTAATAACTTTCAGAAGTGTTAGCAAGATCAGGGCCTCAGCCTCTCAACTCCTTGGGGCACAGACTGTATTTTACTAGCATAACAAGATCTTAGTCAGATTGGATGTTGATGTATAATCAGAATAAAAAATACCAATTCATCCACTAGCCAAAATGAGATATAAGGTACAAAAGCATCTATTTAAACAAAACCAACCATTTGCTATGAAAGAAAAACAAGCCTATTTAAATAGGTACTTAATAACAAGTCTTACTTACCATAAATTCCCGTTGAAATACAGGGGAATGCCTGTAAAAAGAACAACAAAAAGTGAGGAGTTCGGTTTTGAACTTATTAAAACCAGTACTGTTTTTAAAATGCCTATTTCTCACCACTGAGAGATGCAATGTTCACATAGGCAATATTCACCTTAGAGACTTTTATATAATTAATTTGTGGGCAAAACCCACTTCCACAGATGAGCTTGAGTAGAGCAAGGTAGAACAAGACTAGGATAAAAGAAATTCGTTTTCGTTTAATACACACAGTAGAGATAAAAATATTCAGTCCATGGATGCCCTTAGAAAACTTTCCCTGGCCAATGAAGGCCTAAGAAAATCCATTTCCAGCCCTTGTGATTGTGAACATGCTAAATATGAACTAATTATGTGCTGTCTTCTTGACTCAGCAGAGACACACCTACAGTTTTCTGATACCCAGAGTCGCACATAGGGATGCCCACTTTCTAACAGCACAAAATCTTACCCCGCCCCTTCTTTGAGGCCATGCTTTGTCCCAACCCTGAGACCCTGCTCCTCACTACATTTTGCCTCTGTTGGTGGCTCACTTTCCCCACCCTCATTCACTGGGCTCAGACAGGGGGGTTGGAGTGTGAGAGGGGTTTGGCCTCTGGCTGGGGTGCAGGCTCTGGGGTGGGGTTGGGGTTTTGGGTATTGGAGGGAGCCAGGACTGGGGTAAAGGGTTTGGGCAGCTCCTGGTCAAAGGGCAGCAAGGCTACAGCAGGCTCGCTCCCTGTCCTGGTTCTGGAAGCAGCTAAAAGATCCAGTGCATAGGTGGGGGTTGGGCATTTAAGAGGCTCTGGGCTTTGCTCCTGCTCACAGGCACTGCCTCTTCCCCCGGTCCACTAGGCCTGATCCCAGCCAATGGAAGCACAGAACTGATGCTCGGGGCAGGGGCAGCATGTGCAGCCCCTCTACTCAGGAGCTGGACCTGTGGGCCACTTCCAGGGGATAGAGCTGTGCCTGGAAAAGGAGTGAGTCTTCCTTAGCCTTGCAGCAAAACTGACCAGACTTAACAGCCTGGCCGGCCATGCTGGCAGGGCCCAGGGTGGGACCAGGTATTCTGATGGAAAACTGGACACTGGTCACCCAGTGAAGGGGGAGGAGCGAAGCAGGAAGTTGGAGGCAATGAAACACAATACAGACCTATTAGCTAGAAGAAGCGTTCTCACACACTGTGACCCTATTCTGACAACGAAGTTACTTTGTGACCCTGGGGGAGGGAGAATCATAGCCTGAGCCCTGTTGCCCTGTGTGAGGGGCATGGGGGCTGCAGGCCAAGCCTCATTTCCTCAGGTAGGAGTGGCACTGTGGCTTCAGCCCTGGTCTCATCCAGTCTAATGATGGCCACGGTGACCCCATTAAAATGCAGTCCCGACCGTGGTTTGGGGTCCCAAACCACCATTTCAGAACTGCTGAGCTGGAAGACATTACAAAAGATGGCGCTCTTAAGCAGTGTCAAGGGACAGTGGAGAGAGACAAGACAAAACACACCCTCTTTCCCAGAAGCTGCCCGTGGTTAGTCATTTTAATCCTCTGCTTGTAGGTTGCTGAGGCTTTGTCCACACTGAAAAGTTTAAATTGCAGCAGCTGCAGCGCTTTAAACTGCAAGTGTGGCCATGGCAGGAGTGCTGGGAGATGTCTCCTAGCACTCCATGTAAACCACCTTTGTGAGGGAAGTGGCTAACAGTACTGCTTCAAGCGCAGTAGACTGATTCAGACTCGTGCTTTACAGAGATGTGATTTGCTGCATTCAGGGGGTGGGAGGATGTTTTTTCACACACCCCTGAGCCAGAAAGCAACAGTGCCATGAAGTGCCAACAAAGACTTGGCCACATACAAGTCATAACAGAAAAAAATCACATATATTTACCAGGCTACAAACAGCCATTGTAAAATTTACACCATCAGCAGAGAAATTCAAGGTAAAAAGGAATGTTAGCAAATTTTACCAGTCATTGAAAATTAAACCCTAGGATTGTCGTTCACTTCGAAAACAAGGACCTGTAATTAACAGCTAGGTAGAGGGCTCCTTTTTGTAAGTTTTGGATAGGGTGGCAACACAAGCACTGGAGGGGGAAAAAAAGCAAAAGAAATCTGGAACTGTTTAGAGCTAAATACCACGGTTCTCTGAAAACTCAGAGTTAAAATATTTAATAAATTATGACTGTTTCATGATTACAGGAAGCGGGCAGCTGTCAGTGATCTACATCAGTCACCCCATTTTCTCTTATTGCAGTATGTTATCAGAATAGCTGGGAACTTGTCCAACATTTTGAAATCACTTCTGGCTTGTGCGCCATACTCAATACACATCCATTGCTGCTGCCATTTAAGATTTTTTTTCCTAGGGACAGGTTTCCAAATAAAGCAGAGGCCTGAGAACTTCCAGCTGCTAGAGAATTCTGTGCACAGGGCAGGGAATTGAGAGACTTTATATTATAAACATTAAAGCCTTAATAAAGATACGGGTTTTTATGGACTTGTTCTCAGGCCACACACACGAAATCAAACTCTACTATACTCCTTGTCTCATCAATTGCTCTGTGATTTGCAGGTAATAATGTTTCATTACACAAGAAGGGGAGAAAACCACCCACACAGCAGCCGAGAAAGAGGAGATGAAGGGCTATACCAGCGACAGAGCAAAAATACGTAGAAATCAACAGGACTACCTGCAGAGAGAGGTACCTGTCAGCCCAGTCACCCCAGCAAAATTTATATTCATCCTGGTTGAGAGGTGAAGCAGTCCCAGCCCATTGGCCAGGTCGCCATGTCCACATTGCCTCTCCTGTGCACTCTTCTAGCACCCAAACTCCTCTTCTAGCACCCAAACAGTCTCCCTGCTCTCCAATCTGCTGCTCCAGGCCAGGCATTGCAAAGAAAGTCCAATTTCACCCTTAGCTCTGGGATGGCCCATGCATGGCTGATGTGTGGGGATAGTGCCTTTACAGTCCTGTCACATGTAGGAGTTCTCAGGGGATGGAACATGCTGAGTTGCTCTGTGGGAATGGTGCATGCATAATTTGGTCAGCCCAAGATGCAGTGACAGCCACAAGCTTGCTCTGTGGGGACAGAATCTTCAGAGATTTCAGTTCCTAAAAAATCAAAGATGTCTCTGAGCTTATGAGAACTGTGGTTTTTCTTTTAAGGCTTACAAATTGGCCAAAGGTAAGTGGATTTTCACAAAGAAAGCAAAAAAGCACGTCCCTTTCAAAAAGCAAAATACAGGACTATGTAGCACTTTAAAGACTAACAAGATGGTTTATTAGATGATGAGCTTTTGTGGGCCAGACCCACTTCCTCAGATCAAATAGTGGAAGAAAATAGTCACAACCATATATACCAAAGGATACAATTAAAAATAAAAAAGAAAACATATGAAAAGGACAAATCAAATTTGTATATATCGGTATATATGGTTGTGACTATTTTCTTCCACTACGAAAAGGTCACCTCTCTTCCAAATTTTGAGTCCTGGCTCTAAGGAAGAGGTGATACAATATTTTTTCCCCAAGTATTGGCTAATCTATTTTGGCTGAAATTTTCCAAAAATATTTAACTTGAGGCAGCATTCCATAAGGAAAACTTCAAGCCAAATCGTCAACATTTGTCAAACCAGGATCTTATGCAGGAAGTGTCAAAGTGGTCCAAGTGATGAATGGATGTATTGGAAATGGGATGCCATTACAATGAAAAACAAGTGCAAGTGAGAGAATATTCAGGTCCCTAGTCCATATTTAGTCCCAGCAGAAGTACAAATTCAGACTGAATTAATGTCAATTATGCAGAGATCCCATGGGTAATGGTACATTCTTAACATAGGCCCTCATGTTTTCACCTAAACATACCAAATTAATACCAGTATTAACATGGATCAAGTTCAAATTACTTACTATATATTTGAGAGCATTTGTCTGCACATCTCCCCGTGAATCTTTGTATGTCGGTCTGTCTAATTGTTCAAGAACTCCTTTTAAATGGTGTCACAGGCTGTGGGCAAGTCACCGTGCCCTCCACCCCCTTCCACAGCCAGATGTGACCCTCAGCCATCAAGTAGAACAGAAGGTTTGTTCATGGACAGGGACACACCGTAGCATAGACTTGTTGTTAACACAGGAACCAGAAGCAGTCAGCACAATCCCACTTGGGAAGAGGGGGGCCCAGACCAGCGTGCTCAGCCTCCTTCCTGCATTCTGAGCCAGCAGAGAGGACTCACCCACTCAACAACCGATCCCCACCCTGCAGGCAGCCCCACACCCCTCTTTTGTTCTGATTCCTGGGCAAGGTGTGAGCTGGTTGCTCCCCCCACCTAGGTTCAGGTTACAAGACAGCCTGAGCTATTGTTGTGCCTTTACGGTACACATGCTAAGATGGGTCAGCTTCCCCTCAGTGAGAGTCACACCTAACATTTCCATTGTCATCCGGGTACCAGTGCAGTGCCCAGGGAAACTGAGGCACACCCACGGGGTTAGAACAGAACAGTACAGGACAGTAGGAATCACATACAGCATAACAAAGAAAACAGAGTGAATACAATCCCCACTAGGTCACAACTGGTAAGAGACAGGACCACCAATTCAGCTTCTCATTTTGAAATAGCGTGTCCACACTGATTGGACACTGAATTGCATTTAAGGCCAGCAGGAACTGGTTCCGGCAGGACATCAGGTCAGAAGTTACCTTGTGGCCAGGGCGGCCAGCAGGGCACCCTGGGAAGGGCTGGAGACCCCCTATTTCGAAATAAGCATCTACACAGCGCTTATTTTGAAATAGGAATTTCAAAATTGGCGCTATTCCTCATGGAATGAGGTTTACCATTTTCGAAATAAGCCCTCCGCTATTTCAAATTAATTTCGAAATAGCAGTTGGCTTGTGTAGATGTTAGGAAAGTTATTTTGAAATAACGGCGGTTATTTCGAAATAACCTTGCTGTGTAGACATACCCATACAGAACAGAAACAGAATCACCAGGCAGGTGCAAAGGGCTGGCTGAGGGTAACCCCCCTA